TGGTAACATTCTCAGAATGTTTTTAGAACCAACAATGTCTAGCTGGGAACTCAGACATGCCTACGCAAACATGCAATATCATGAATTACATGCTTGTTTTTTTTTTAAAAAGGAAAATGAGATCAAAAATCAGATTTTTTTTAAACATCCTTTTCAAACAAATGCAACAAGTTTGTATTTTAAAGCGCATTACAAATAAATCTGACGTTGACCATGATTAATATTTCGCATCACAGGAACGTTTTATAAAAAAAGAATAACCTCCTGAAAACATTATCCAAATGTTGCTTTCAAAACATTCTTCTTTTGTTATCATGTAACATTGAGGGAACGTTTTATAAAGAACATCTTTAATGTGTTACCCAACAACGTCCAAAACACATCCTTAGAATATTGCAGGCAAAACGTTCCACCTTTGTTAACATATCACATTAAAGGAACGTTTTATAAAAAACTTTCTGTCATCTCAGGCCTCAATAACATCCTCAAAACATCCTCTGAATGTTGCAGTTAAAACGTTATGTCTTAGTTAACCTTAAACCTTATAGGAACATTATTTGAAAAGATAAACATCCTAAAAAGGTTCTTTGAACATCAGATGAAAACGTTTCTTTAAAACCTTATTAGAACCAATAGGTAACGTTAGCCAAAGTTGTGAGAACGTTCCCCGCTAGCTGGGTAAGAGGGGGTTAACACATTTTTTCAAAGCTAAACAACGGTGGATGGAATGTTAACCTGTTAAGCCCGGGAGCCCCCGGGGGTGGGGGCCCCTGCAACATCTTGCAAGAAACAGCGGCTGAGGGCTTCTTAACATTTAACAAACTATGAATGTGTCATACCCACTTAACGGGAAGAAACTCAGCTACCTGACGATATGAACCATTTTTACCGAAACAAAACACAGGTCTAACGCCGAGCCTCTGAATTAGCACTAAGCGAAAGAGTGCTAACGCACTTATTAGCACATAACTCACGGTAGAAATATTTTATACTTCATCGGATCTGCACAAACTAGATATCATATGAAAGCTGAGATTCTACAGATTCCAATGGTATACGTATCATCACTATGCGACCAAAACTCGCGGCAGCGAAAGCCAGCAAAGACAACACACAACTTCACTTTACGTGGCCAAAGCGGCAAATACGTCTTACCTTCGCTGTTTTCTGAACAAAGGTTGTGTTCAACGGCATTAAAACGCATATAAACGCTGCTGAAGGTTAATCCAATGTCTCTGTGTCACTTTGAAATGATTACTGATAATCCATCATCATATTTATGTCAATAAACTGAGTTTTCATATAGAGTATATGAGAGCTGTAACCAGGGGCGGACTGGCCATCGGGACGTTCGGTAATTAGCCTACTTGCGGTACCAAGGTGGGCCGGCGGTACCGAAGTGAGCCGGTCGAGAGTCCCGGGCAGATTTGTAGTCCCAGTCCGCCCCTGGCTGTAACCCAGCTTCCGGTTTTGGGCATGCTGGCTGCGCATCACTCTCATTCACCAATGGTAATGTTTAGATGGATTCAGGAACTCTCTCTCGATTCTATTGGCTCTATCGGTTAAAAAGAGGTGTCAATCACCAAATTCGACCGATGGGTTCCAGAGATATGGCAAATGCACCCAAATGACCCCAGAGGTGGGGTTTTTTTTCTAAACCTCTCTAAAAAGGTCAAATTTCACTTGTTTTGCATCAATCTTGATACAGGGTACTTATTATATGTTAACGTTTGGATTTCCCTTTTGTAACTCTGATTCCAGTCTCCAGGTTATCTTGTTTTTATTGATATATGTGCAGCTTGCTAAATGTTGATGTTCTTCAGTGTTATCTTCCTTTCCCAGCGGTTTAGCTGAGCTCAGTGTGGCTGTGCAAACAGTAGTCTGTGGTAGAAATTAACAAAGTAGAGTGTCAAATATAATTCCTTTCATCAAAAATCATTCTTCTACTCATGTGTGCCACTCAAGTGCTCTCTCCCTTTGATCATGGTTATGTCCCACCCAGACTTCAGAGCTGTTTTTATCATCATGTTTACCAATGAGAGGTAGAAGCTTTTCTGTAGCATTAGCCACCCGGCTGATTATTTTACAGTTTTCTAGGGCACTCAAGCTTTTCCACCAGGTTCTAGATCATTTGACACTCTGATAAGTTATCACTTCTCAAATATCCTTGCTTACACTGTGGAATTTCCTCAGTAGTAGCCTATGTTGAACCTTGGGAGCAAGAGGTCCGGGTTTCTGTAGTGCCTGCCTTGGATTGTTGTTGGTAGACTGAAAGCCTACCAACTTAATCTTTATCATTTCTCTATGGTTGTCAACTAGACACTGAAGTGACCTGCACCTAAGGATGTGAGAAAGAAACTTTCAGCAGTCGTTGTCATTTCCTACAGTTTCCTTTAGCCAGTTGTATTCAAGGACTTTGCTACGGGGTTTGAGTACACAAGTGACTCATTTCCTGAGAGTTTTCAGAGTGAAGGCCATATCAGGACTAACAGAGCAATGCCGGGCTGTAGGCATGCCAGACATAAATACATACAACCTAAACACAAGATAAAGTATGTTTGGGAAATACTGCATTCTGCAAACAGTTCTTACAATTGTATTTTGATAGCATAACGTTTTATGATAACACAGGCTAAAATAGGAGTATGACTATACTGCCATCCACCAAAAGAACATGGTTACTGTATTGACAGCACAATGAGAGCAGAGCAGGCACTTCCTGTATGTGTCACCCAAAGGGCAGATAGAAAACAGACTCAGAACTCTTCCACTGGTGCTCCGTCACTCTTTCCCTGTCTCTGACTGCCCTGTATCTGGAGAGATCATATCTGTAGAGACCAAAGCCAATAATGTTAAATGAATAAATAAGACATTATGAGATAAATATTCATGCATTTGCATAGTTATAACATTGTGAAATAACCCTCTGTAATTCTAATTAGGGATGCACAATTAATCAAAATGGAAACATGGGAAATATGGGCTAGTGCAATATTGAAATCGCAGGAGGTGCAATATTTGGTCTTTGTTAAAGGTAAAACATGTGAAAATATATTTCTGAATGAAGGATAGTGGAGATGCAGAGAAGTTCTCCAAATCGTATTCTGCAAACTTGAACCCAACCTCAAATATCTTTCTTTGTTCCAGATAAAAAAATCACTCCATGGCCATTTTGTATCTTTCTTCAATGATAATAAGTAGGGATGTCCCGATCACCTTTTTTTGCTCCCGATCCGATTCCGATCATTTGATTTTGACAATCTGCCGATACCGATTTTTCCCGATCCGATCTTTATGCAATGCATTAAGAGAAAAAAAAGGTAACAGATAACGGCTGGTCATCCAACGCGATGAATTCAGCTATCTTGGCTGTTATTTTTTTGGCCAGTGAAACAGTGAAAACACTTCTGGGGCAGTTTCTCTTTCCTTTTAAAAGTCTCTGAAAGTGTCAGTTGTTTCAGTGCCTTTACCCGAGTGGCCGCTGTGTACTCCTCGTGTTGTTGTTGGTGTTTGTTTCTCAGGTGGCGTTTCTCTGTTCTTTCCACCACGCGGAACCTCCGCCTTGCAAACATTGCATCTGGCTGTTACACTGCCTTCGCTTTCAATTTTATAGTACTTCCAAACTCCTGACATTTTCTCTGTCCCGACTCCCGAGGCACCAGCTGAACGTAGCCTCTTGTTAGCTTACTGCTACTATTAGACACTGCGCCCACTCTGTTGCCAGATTTGACAGAAATAAGCAACCAGGTCTATGAAAACAAGCCCAAAAGAAGCAACACATACATGATGTTGTGTAATTTTAAACCAAAACGAAGGCCTCAGGATGACTTTAAGACATGAACATGGTCATTTTTGTTTTGTAACATTCAATAAAATAATAAAAATATTTTATAAAAAAAAAAAAAATAATTCCCAATCCCCGATTTTTTTCTCCCGATTCCGATCTTTTGAAAATCACGTGATCGGCTCCGATCCCCGATCACGTGATCGGATCGGGACATCTCTAATAATAAGAAAATGTGTGCAAACATGATCAATTCCTCCAAATTGCAATTGAATTTCAGTCAAAATAATTATAATTATAAAATATTATCTCATCCCTTTTTTACACTAACAGAAATTCATTGGGCCATTTCCACCATTTTAACATAAGCTAAACTAAAACAATGGATCCATCTATAAACAAGTCAGACATTTCTAGTCAAACAAGTGATTGTAATAAATAGAGTAAACGTAACGTGTTAGTTGAGGTATTTTATTACATGGAAATTGAAATGGACTGTAAACAGGGATATAAAGCTTTGTCTTGTTCATAAAGACCTGCACTACAAACACTGATACTGCTGCAGGGAGAGGATTAAGTCATTATTTATCAAGGTTATGAATCTGAATAATATTTGTTAAGAGGCTATGCTCAAATATAATTGGACTTCACCACTGTTTCCTTCCAGTGTGGCTAAAGTGAGTTAAGTGTTTGTGTGGAGATGTTATAGACTCATTAAGCCTGTTGGGCATATGGCAGTACACAGAGCGGGTTGCCATGGAAAGTTCCAATATTTTGTAAAAAGGGAGGATTTTAGTCCTGATAAATGTAAAGTCTAAAAAGAAGGGGTGCTTACATTTTGGGTTCATACCTTGGTCAAGGCACTGTGTCCTTGGCTTAAAATGCTGGGTATGCTTACAAGGGTTCCAGGCCTCAAAAGCATCACCTGACAATGGAACCACTGAACTCCTTTACAAAAGTAAAGTAGAATTCAATAGATATATTTCACGCCAAGTATTTTTAGATAACAGACTCTACGACCTTTTGTATATTGTTGTTGTCACAAGCATTGATCATAGAGCCTGTCAAACCTTTGCACTCTTCATTTACCATAGTTATAATCAAGCAATAACAGTTTATGATTGCAAAAATGTCAAATAACTTCTTATATATGTATCTGCTGTCATGACATGAATCCCCTCCTAAAACCAATCCCTCTCATCTCCCTCTCTCCCAGCTGTGAGCCGAGTGATTGACAGGACCTAAAGACATGGGGAAGCAGAACAGCAAGCTCCGCCCTGAGGTGATGCAGGACCTCCTGGAGAGCACCGACTTCACAGAGCACGAGATCCAGGAGTGGTACAAGGGCTTCCTGAGGGACTGCCCCAGTGGCAACCTCTCCATGGAGGAGTTCAAAAAGATCTACGGTAACTTCTTCCCCTACGGTGACGCTTCAAAGTTCGCCGAGCATGTCTTCCGCACATTCGATGCCAATGGTGATGGGACAATAGACTTTCGGGAGTTTATCATCGCATTAAGTGTGACGTCACGTGGAAAGCTGGAGCAGAAGTTGAAATGGGCGTTCAGTATGTACGACCTGGACGGAAACGGGTACATCAGCAAATCTGAGATGCTGGAGATTGTTCAGGTGAGTGTGCATGGAGGCTGCAAGGAAAAATAACTAGTTGATAAACTAGATGTTGCAATAGATAAATCTATCATTTTTAAATCATAATTATCATTATGATTAAAAAATATATTAAATGATCATTGCCAATTTCTTTTCTTTTTTAAAAGATCGATTACAAAGACACATGTTTTCTTAAGTCTGTAGATTACAATTCTTAGCCTTTTTCAAAAATTGTGCTTTTCGCAGCTCGATTACTGCACTAGTACATATGGCGATTTAAAGGGGACCTATCATGCAAAATGCACTTGTGTACGTCTTTTATACATGAATATGTGTCCCCGGTGTTCCAGGGAACTCACCAAGTGTCAACAAAACACACCCTCTCTCTTTTCCTCCATACCCAAAATCTCTAAAACGGGGCTGCAACGGATCTGATACAGACTGATACAGATTTGAAATATCTCTGACGTCAGAAACAAGGAGCTCCGCCTATATGGGCAACTCTCCACCTATCGGGGGATGAGAGGTTGCCGTGGCATGGTAACAGCATGGGTAACAGCATGGTAACATGACGCTCGTGCCTCACCCCCCTCCTTTGCAGGGGGGCGTGGTCAGCTGCAGCTCATTTGCCACAAAATCAGCCCTTGCAAAACAGGGCTGGAATACAGCAATAGAGCGAAATGAGGCATGGCTAAATGCATGATCTGTTTGGTATTTTGAAAAAAAAACGTCACAGACATGTTTTATATAGGTATGGCCCTACAATATATTATTTCAAATATAGCATGATAGGTCCACTTTAAGTAAAAATGTTGCAGCCCTATTGAACAGACTATGGCTGACAAAAGAGCCCAGTGTCTAAAATACAGAAAAACAGGACAGATACTGTATTACATTAACAGAAAATCTGTTTCTATCACATGTTGGCAGTCTCTTCTGAATGCATCAGAACGCATAGACACATACACACTCACAGAAACACAGCAATTGTTACATTAGCCAAGGCAAAGTTTGTTATATTTTGATTGTAGGTAATGCCACTGTATCCATAACACGCTTATTATGAGAGCAGGGAAAACATTTTAAGAACAGGAGGACAAACGGCTGTGCTCCATGAAGGGAGGGTCTTACAGTCTTACAGTGATGAAGGTGGTGATCTTACCAGTCCTGCTATTTAAATGATACAGTTAAATAAAAAAGAATTGGTGCATGGCTTTCCCAATGCAATCATTAGCAAATGTTGTAACGCCTACTTGTTTTTTCATATTTGCTAAAAGCAGCCTTTTGCAGGAAAGATGAGGGAAGGACGTTCATATTAACAGTGTTAGCCCTGAATGTTAAACTCTTGTTAATGAAGGTACATGGGGTCTAAATGCCCTTTAGGCTGTGTGGGCTTTCAGAGATTCTTTAAAGTCACATAAGCAATGTGATTGTTTTAATGATTGTTAAGAGATTATAGATCGCATTAACATCACATCACATTTGAGTTCTGTTCATAGAAGCATTGCAGGCATTTGAATCGAAATACATTCAACAATATGTTTAACCAGATTGTAAAATGAGAGTTAAAGGTTACATTCTGTCTGTGTTCATGTTTAACTGTTGTACTTTACGTTTACAGTCAAATATTTGGAAGTTTTCTTGGTGGTGCAGCAGGGCACTTCTTACCTTTTCATAAAGAAAACAACAAAAGTGAAGCAAGCATTTCCTTCACAGGAGCTTCTCATGTAAAAATACTTTTAAATGTGTGCATGCCTGCGTTACAAAAAAATTACCATAACAGTAGGCACTTAAAACGGCAATGTTGTAGACTCAGGTCTCTGCCAACAGGTGTTCTGAGCAAGTGAAGATGACCACTGACAGCACTTTTGTCCAATGGTAGTTTGGCTAGTCGCTAACTTTATATATGGTATTTGGAAGATTTTTTTTGTTCATTTGGATCCACATTAGCATTAGGAGCAGCTACTCTTGCTTGGGGTGTAGACAGTGCAGTGTACAGTGGATTTTCCTCTGAAAACTGCTTGCTGCAATAAAACCAAAACACTAAGCTGAAAGACACACACTTGAAAAGAAGTGCAGTCTGGTGATCATTTGTCGCTTTGTCCCTATGAGTGACCCCATTCACATTACATACTGTATAGTCAATCATCCGTTGTTATTCTAAAAAAGATTGATTATAGCCAGTTTTGTCAGATTTTCCGCTTTTTCTGTTTGAATATTATATGTGTCTCCTATAATACCTTCACAGTCCTAAGTTTGTATTTTAATGTTTTGAATATTAGTTGCTCTACTGATTCAGATATCTGATGGATTTCAGGCTAGTCATGGCCAATCCCAGCCAATATGAATCTATAATGCCTCCCTACCTCACGACGGCAGTGATTCAGCCTGAAGCTTTCCACGACTGTCCACTTCCCATTAAAGCTGGTGCTGTTCCCAGGATTGAAAGAATAGACAGCAGTGAGTGCAGGGCTCATCAGTGGATGTGAAGAAGAGGAGAAGCCTGTTGAAAAGTTGATAGTTGCCTTAATTAGTGAATGGTTGTGAGTGTACTTGTCATTCTTCAGATATGTGTGTGTGTAGTTGTTAAGGGCTTCAAATGTGTCCTCTTCCACTATGCATGCAAAAAGCAGTAAAGTAGTTCCAAGTCTATTTTGATTGTGGCTTTTGAAATCTAGTAGCTGGTACTCTGTGTTTTACTCATTAAATTAGGATGTTTACTTTCAATTGTTGTGGTGCACTTTTAGAGTCCAGGGTCATTTAGTTTCTCTCGGGTGCCTCGGGCCACTCAGAAGCATTTACACAGAAACACATTCAGTATTCATCTATCTTCATGTCTTCATTGGCTGGTTCAAAGCCTCTGCATAAAGAAGGCAATCATAAGAGAATCATTTTCAGATGGAGTTGAAGTTGAAATATGGCCTGTACTCTGAGTTAAGCCTGCAGCTCAGTGTTGTTACAATATCTGCTTTCAGCCGCTGGATCTCATAAAGCTGAATCCTTCTATTTCCTGTTGCATATCTGGTTACAGGGAGTGGGAAAAGGAAAATCAAATGTTTTTACCAAAATATAGAATGCAAAAAATGTTCCACAAATTTCAGTATTAGTAATGCAGCACTAGTTAAGTTTAGGTTTAGAGAAATAAGAAACAAGTGATGACCATTATGCTAATGTTATCATATGAGCGTGGCTCTAGGGATGGATACTGTATTTGGAATTCATGTTCTCCAGATGATGAATCATACTGACTTCTGGTGATCGGTAAGTGATCATAAATAGATCACTTAACAAAAGTTAACATCGCATTAACCTATTACATTTGAGTTCTTTTCATAGAAGCATTGCAGGGATTTTAATCGAAGTACATTCAACAATATGTTTAACCAGACACTCAGGATGTCCATAGTGACAGTCCAGAGATGAAAGAAGACAGGTCAGGGGGAATCTTCATTTGTTTGTCACGGTGCCTCACTATAAATGCACTTCTGGAGATATGGAAAATGTGCCCCACTTATTCCAATAACAAAGCTTCTGTTCCCATGTTGCTGAGTGTATCTCTGTAAGTTGCTAATCATGCTCCAGTAAAAAAGAAGATGAAAAGAGACACAAAAAAACACATCTTCATGCGCCACCTAGCTAATAACAAAAACTAAAAGAGCCCCTGCTGTAGTAGTGCAGACATTGCAATGCATCTGCTTTAGAGAACCCAGATTGTACGACTACATGCATGCAACAGCACATTATGCACCTTATTTCGCTGGATGGGATCTTATCCATCACCAGTGGCGACTGGTCATTAGGGGCAGGTGGGGCACAGCCCCACCTAGTGTCAGCAGAAAGTATTACAAATAATGATTACAAAAATGCAAAAAAAAAATAAAAAAATATATAAAATATATTTTAAGATCATGTTTAATCATCTGATTCGTCTGTACATTGCTGTTTTAGTCTGTGTTCTTCTAATTAGTGTGTCTACAGTCACAGTGTGTGCCTATTGAGCTGTTTAGAGCCATGTGGGACAAAACCTGATTATGCCCCTTCCTCTCGCTGTGAAGTCAACGGTGACTGTAAAAACTACACTGCGCATGCTCAGAGTATTTTGTAATGAAATGTGTGTGGCAAAAAAATAATGACCAGAGGGGCATGGAGCTACCATCCCCACCATACGTCATCTCAAATCATTCAGAGCTGATTGGCTGTAAGTACGTGTGCCGCGAAAAGTGTGGTGTGTGAAGAGGAGACGAGAGAGCTGCAGTGACGCGTCCTAAAACCAGGAAGTAAGCTGCGCATGGCTTCCCTCGACAAAAAAGCAATGAGATTTCTCCAGAGGATTTTAGAAAATAGCTGGAAATAAGATCTGTGGGAAACGTACCTGTTAGATAAATGCACGTTTTGATCAGCCGGATAACATCCACATGTCTACCCTACTTTTATAATTTTTTTATCATAAATCTATGGCTTAGATTTATGATAGACTTTTGAAACTACAAGAACATAAGGAGGACTTTTACAAAAAAGTAATAGAAATGTTTGTCCAGAAGGATAGGCAAATGGACTTCATCTTCAAGTCAAGGTAAGACCGCCATTTGATTGAAAATGGGATCTTACTAAGAGAGAACAATTCAATATTTAAATGATCAAATGACATTTTTTGGGTATCCTTTTGTTGAACTGTCTGTTTAAAATTAATCGAAGCATCAGACAAAAAAAGCTTTTGAAAATAATATTATATTTTGGTTTAGGTCAAATATAATATTTGTAAACCTGAAGAGTCAGTGCCAGTGCCTCACCAGCCATGAACCTCACTGCACGTCACTGCAGAAGCTTATATATAGACATCTACGTTTTTTGTGCCCCACCACTTTTGTACATATAAAAACGCCACTGTCCATCACACCAGTGTTATTGTGAACACCACTGGCAAATGCTTCACCCAAGCCCCTTTCAATCCCCCCACCGTGACCTCAATATTTTATATTCACAAACCTCTATTTGCCACATGAGTAAGAGCTGCTAGCTAATGGTCTCTCCTGTGTGTAAATGCTGCTGATGCTCATAATTAGCCTTGCCGTGGGAGTCATTGAATGAGATGGATGGCAGACAGTACGGCTCTTCTTTTTCAGATAATGACAAAATCTCAAGTCCGGGAGTAAATAAGAGGTCTCAACCACTCACCAACAGCTGACCTCCGTCTACCTCTCATCTGAGCAGACGGCACAGAGGGAAGCTCCCTGTCTCCATTGAAGAGTGCATTCATACCATAGATTAGAAAGACTGAACAGAATAGCAGGTTAGATAAGTCGCCATGGGAAACACATTCATCTTTTGTGTGAGGGTGAGGAGAGACTTTGCATTCTGTGTGTGTGCTTATTACTGCAGGACCACTCAAATGGTGCTCTGTGGGTGCACTTAAGTCAACAACTTGACTTTCTTTCTTTCATTTTCTCTTACTATATTAAATGTTGGAAAACAAACACAAGGCAAACTAAATCTTTCTTGGATTTTGACTAGTGGACGACCTCCATCACTTTTCTTCTTTGTCTTAAACTGCATTTTCCTCACCTGACTCTGTATCATTTGATGTGGATGAAGTGTAGAGGGGAGATCATAAGAGTTATGTGCTGATGCTTCTCTTATCCCTCTCGTTCAAAAGGCCACATAATAGTCCTAGCTTTCTAACTGTTTTTTGCTATCCTTCATGCGGCTCAGAATATTTCCGGTTTCATTAGAGACACTAAAAGCTCTCTGCTGGAGGAGTGTGTAAGAACTATCTTTTTTCTCCTTGTGGTAATCAGGTTATACAATACATGCTGCTTAGACCTCTGAAGCTTGATGACATCTGTCTAAAATGTCAAATCAACATATGTGTAAAACAGATAACGGATGTAGGCTCTATTGTTATATTTGTGAGAGAAATGCAGAGAACTCATAGTAGGAGGTGAGAGGGGATGTGGAGGATACACCAGCTGGTCGGGTGTCATGGGTGAAGAAAGAAAAGATAGAAAAATCAATCCAATAAAGAGGGTGGCTGCAGGCTGTGGATCAGGGGAATAGAGGATCAAACCTTCATACAGCAGCTCCTCTCAGGGACTGATGGGCCTGGGATCTGATCTCAGATCTGTAAACACTGATGCTGTTGCTGCTATTCTATATTCTTCTAACTGTTTTATCTCAATACTTAGTGACTTCTTTATCCTCTGTGGAATTCACATCCAGACCAATGAGTTCCTAGATGATATCTGATATATCATGTATGTGTTGTTAAGTTAGGCAAAGGTTATTAGGAAGAAATGGATTTGTTCGAGATTCCCAGTCTTATCAACAATGACCTCCTGAGTAAAGATTGTCCTTTTCTGTTTGGTATAACTCTTCATTAAGCAAGAAATAAATCATATTACTTTACAAAAAAATAACTATTTACAATTAGTTTTACAAGTGACACAGTGTAAACCTTTTGTATACTGATTATTTTCTTATTGAATACAGGACTTTAGTGCAAAATTAACCTTACAGAATCAAGTGCAATCATAGAGGAAAATCAATATTTCCATATATACACACTTTCTAAATTGCATAGTAGGTATGTGCTTGTTATCTGTTAAGGTGTTGTAATTGTGTACTACAATTTCTTGATATAATCCCTCTTGGTTGTCATGGTTTTTAATTGGATTTACGATCTCTTCCACCAGGTTTCTCCCTATAATGTTGTTAATTAGTCTTCACTGTACAGGCTGTTATGAAGCCCTGGTGAATACATGAATATAGCCTCTGAGTAGACCACTGCTCACTCACTTGGACGGTGTTTGTCTGATCTGAAAGTGTGTGTGTTCATGGTCAATAAGGACCATTCATAATCAATGGAGCTCCATGGCTCCGTTAAGCACTGTGTGAACTCCAGATCCTTTCACTTTGTATTGGTTGCTTGTAATTTGGGGATTTAGAAATGTAATCTTTTCCCCTGCGTTTCCCTGGATTAGACCAACAGTGAAACCCCTCAACATGTAATAGTAGCTAAATGTATCAAACAGTCACAGCAGTTTGAAGGATTTAGATTAATAAGAGACCCTGCTCCAAACTGAAATGAAGACTGATATTGAGCGAGGTTCCTCAGCTCCACGGTGACCCAGGAACAGAGCCGCCCCGCCACTGTGCATAAACAGCACCTCTTTACAGCCCCCGCTGCACTGCAATCACAATCAGCCTCCTCTGTTCACACGTCAGCGCCCCCTCCCCTCAATCCACCTCCTTATTACAGACACAGTGGGCTGTGATTTCACTGTTTACTGCCTAACCCCCTGCAAAGCAACAGAGAGCAGAGGAGACACAACACTGATAAATAGTCTGTGAGGGGGGGTATGTTCCCATGTTTGTCTACACCCCCCCCTACCTGAAAGTGGAATCTCACAAACAGTGAAGCAGTGTCTGCAGTCTGGATGCACACACCGGAATCATGAATCACTTTGTTAGAAAAAGTGGTGGGGACACCTCTATTTAATAAAAACACTACTGCATTAAACTCCCCCCGCAAACAATACATACTGTACATATATACATACAGATATATACTTACAATACTTTCTTTGACAACTAATCAGTACTATGCTACGCTGCTGCATAGCGGGAGTAACAATTACCAACAAAATTGGCCACTTTCAAAAGTGTTGGAGACATGTCCCCAGCGTCCCCATTATAAATTCAAAATTGGGATCAATAATGTACTTCTTATCTTAAATGACGCCAGTATAAAAAACGTAATTGATCCATATGTCTCACTGGCTTGACTCGACTCCCTTTTGGTACCAGTTCCTATCCTTATTGGCAACCAATTAGAAGAACGTATTTACTTTGTCAATTGTACGGTGTAGTTTACAGCGTAGTTTCCCGGGCTGGCACGACAATAAAATAGTAATGTCCGGTTTGTGCACAATAAAACATTCTCTTCCACCATCAGTGCTCGGCAGTGTTTAACTCCTACTTTGTACTATTCACAACTTTTGCTAATGAAAAACCAAAACAGAGCAAGCCATGCTGAGTGGAGCAGTGGATGTGAGGTCAGACCTGATCCAGACATAGTCTGCACGTAATGAGAGACGGTGCACATCTGACATCACCCATGACATCACGTTGTATTCACCTAAAACAAATACAAAGAGCAGAGAAAGAAACTGCCCTACAGTTGTCACCATTTCTGAGTAAGATTTATATTGAGATAAAAAGTTCGAGAAATTAACCCATTTTAATGTAAATGAACTGTTGAAAAGAGTGGAAGTATTAACAGAGGCAAATAAAACGTTTTAAAATAATGGCTTCAAAGATGAATAGGTACATGGGAGGTCATCCGTTACCGTGCATTAAAGCAATGAATTCCATATCCATCGTTCAAAGAAAACACCTGAGCATGCAGCAGCCCCCCCCCTGCAGCCAGAGAGCCAGCTTCAATACCTTTAGTTCAAATAATAAAGCGTTTAGAGATGAATTATATGACCTCCTTTATGTCTCTTTGTAGGCAATCTACAAGATGGTGTCCTCTGTCATGAAGATGCCTGAGGACGAGTCGACACCTGAGAAGAGGACGGAGAAGATCTTCAAGCAGATGGACACCAACAGAGACGGTAACTTTAAATACAAAGACTTTCAAATTCCCTTCAGTATTTCTACGGACACACACAAAAATCATTTGAATAACCTGATGGAATTGGTTTATTGATTGGTTGATTGATGAGTTTTAGTAAAATGGAACAACACAGACTTTAAACTTGCAAATGCATCGGACAGCTTGTCACTGCCACCTGGTTAGCTGGCCAGCAGCTGGCACAGACAGACTCTTTAAGGCAGACAACACTGGGTACATCAGAGGAGAGATCCAACGGGGACACATGAATGGAAGAGCTAAAACACCCCATCATTCTGTCAGTGCCTATATTACTGTCATTTGCTGTTATTTGAACAAAGTGTGTCTCAGAAGTGTTTGTTATATATCCAGTCTACAGTGGTAACGCTCAGTCTGCATGTGGTGAGAATGTGAGGTCGCTCAATGAGTTCCTGCCTTGTGTTCTTCAGGTAAGCTGTCTCTGGAGGAGTTCATCAAAGGAGCGAAGAGCGACCCCTCCATCGTGCGCCTGCTGCAGTGTGACCCCAGCAGCGCTGGGCAGTTCTAACTGAGGCTCCACTCCACCTGTGAGGCTCACACATCCTCCATTTATCAAACTCAGCCGTGTTGCCTTCAATTCTTATTAAAAACATTTGCTCACATGCCATTGCCAAACAGGGGTGTGTTCAACAACACTTTGTGAAAATATCCAAACTCTCACACAACTGGTGTTATCCCAAACATAGGCACTGTATTTTTCAAAGATCGTACTAGTTTCACACACTAGTTCATAAACAGTGTTTGAAAATGTTTTTCTTTAAAAATAGATGCTAAACAAGGGGTGAGTATTTGATATAACAATCATAAGGGTTATGTAAAGTTAACATTTCACTGGAATCTTTGAAAAGGCGACGTGGAGCTAGTCTTGGTGAGAGTTACTAGCTGCTGTTCAGGTTTCAGAAAGTGCATCAGTAGGAAGGCTGAGTTGAGTGCAGAGGAACAGGAGCAGTACAGGAGGGAAGATGTTCTGAGGCAGCGTGCAGGATGTGGGGACGGGTCCTCCACCGTGTCACGCTGTGTGACTGTTGTTCTGTTCCGTGGATGGATATGAGAGACTTTGTAGGAGCTGGAGGTGGCTTGCAGGATTTATGAAATACCGTCTGCTCTTAAAATGTGAACCGTCGTTTTATAGATTAAACTCTTTACGACACTTTCCAGAGTTAACTGTCAACATGCATTTCAAGAATATATATATAATATTAATAAGCTGGTAAAGGTGCAGCTAGTTTGAATGACTTTGTATACTGCAGGGTAGCTTGTGAATTGACTCCAGGTGGAACTAAAGTCTGATTTAAGATGGTGATTATATTCACATCATTCATCCACATCTGTAAAGTACTAAAGGTACTAAATAAATGTAGTAGGGAGTAAAAGTACACCATGTACCTCTGAACTGTAGAGGAGTAGAAGAATCTACAAGGTTAGCTAAACATTTAAATACTCAAGTAAAGTACAAGTACCTCAAAAGTGTACTTAAGTATACAGTACTTGAGTAAATGTACTTAGTTAGTTAGTCATTTTTGGTGAGATTGGGGGTGTTGAGATTGCCTCGCAGCCGCTCTGACTATGACCCCCACCTCTCCCCGCAGAGCTTCTTTGGGGAATCCAAATGCCCTCTAACTCTCTCTCCGGAGCAGACTGATGATGAAGAATGACAAGCTGATGACGATGAAGAAGACGAGCCTTCACTGCACTGAGGACATCAAAGAGGGGCACAGGAGCCCAATTCTCCAGCTGACCCCTGAGCTGTTTATCCAAACCCTCCAGACCCCCACCCGGACAGAAACTGATGAACCCCCCCCCATCAAGTTATCACACCCCACTGATTGTAGTTACCCAGGTTCCCTCAGTCCTCCTATAGGCGCGTCCGACTATAACGAAGGTCCACAGTAGGTTGTACATATACAGTATAAACTGGAGTGTCTGTATCAGTGTCTTTACTCTCTGTGCCCCAGCCTCTGTCACTCTGTGTGTGTCATAGAGTGTGTGTGAGTGTGTGTGTGTGCATGAGACAAGAGAGAGAGAGAGAGAGAGAGATAATGGTGTTGAACAGCAGGACATACTGTAGGTGAGATGATTGAATCTGCAGAGAGGACATGTGAAGTGTGTCCTTCACTCAGAACGACTACCGCTTTTAGTTTCCTCTTTTCTACTGTGAGAATGTCTACATGTGTTTGTGTATTTTGCAAACTTGATAGACTTGTTTCATATTTTCCACTGGGACAGATTAACATGAACAGGTAATATTATGCTACTATGCATATGCGCGCCTAATCAGAAGTTTGATTTTGCGAAGTCTCACTGATGTAATGGAATGAAACACATCTCATCTGTTCCAGTTTTTCATATCTGCAAGAATCTGACAAAAAGAAAACTAGTCTTTTAAAGTATTTGAATACAGTGTAGATATATTAAAGTGCTACATTTGAAAGAAATGTGAAATAATACAAAAAGGTTATTTTATGAAGCTTTTGCAGGATGTTGCGCATGCATACCAGTTTCTTTCTTTCTTCGACATGTAAATAACTGAAACCCCGTTCCTTATGTTCACTTTTTGATGTTTTTAAATGCCGCATGTTAAACAGTTGGCTGCAGGGATGCATAGACCCAATACCACGTATGCATGTGACCTATGCGCATGTGTGTTTGACGTATGTTTACGGATATCAGTGGCTAAAGGGCCAGCTGTGAGCTCGCTTCTGTACGTTGGTATGGTCACAGTGCTACCAGCAGGCAGTGTTATTGACAGCATATGGACGGCCACAGCTGACACATGGAATGGATCTCATGGATACCTTCCTGGAGGGAAGGTGTACATCAAATGAAGATGCACTGTCCAATGGGGATGCTGGGAAATCAGAGCAGAGAGCCTTTTTCTTTTTAAGTTGAGCTCAAAAAATGAATTCATCAAACATACACACAGAGGACAGAATTCTTTAACGACTGTCCCAATTGTCTAGCACAAACAGTATTATGTAAAATAAAGAAATGCTATTGGTCACGCATCAGCACAAATAAATAATAAGTATCATTTAGACAGCCCTCCAAAAAAATTAGAAAGTTGACCCGGCATCAGTGTAACCCTGCCCTGAATGTACCACACACACACACACACCACACACACACACACAACCACACCATACACACACACACACACCATACACACACCACACCACACACACACACACACACACACACACACACACCATCACACACACACACCACCACACACACCATCACACCATCACACACACCAACACACCATCACACCACCACACACACCATCAAACCACCACACACACAACCCCCCACACACACCCCCACCCACACCCCACACCCAACCCACCACACACACCCACACACCACACACACACACAGCCAAGCCGTTTCAGTTACTGCATTATATTCCGATTAGAAAAGCTTTGAATGTTTTAAATAACTGCTGTTTTTTTGTGAAGAAAAAAAGATGTAGACAAACAAACCGAAAATCACAACTACTGCAATGACACTGTCACTCTGTTGCTTTTATTGTATTTTTCTGATTTTCTGATTATTTTTTTAAGCTAAGTCAGGTGTAACAAATCTGTTAAAACAAATAGCATCTTGTGTGCCAAATAAAAACAAAACAGTATTGTATACATTTATACTGTACAAATGTTATCTGTTGAACAAATTGTTTGTAATTGTTGCATTTTGTAGGTTTTGTATGGTATCCTGTATTTAGTGACTGCAGTTTTGGAACACAAGATTGTTTTTGGTCAACTTTAAAAAGCAAGAATTAAATTTACATTTTATTGTGTGCAAGCAATAATGTGGTGTCTGCTTATTTGCAATACAGCGGTTAAACGGCAACATGAAGGATATAGTTCAGCCGAAAACCGATTGAAGACATATTGGGTTGTGCATGTGTTATAATCTAATCTAATTTTACAAACTTTTATATTTTGCCTCAAAAATCTAGTATTGCTAAGGTTCTTGTTTTTGTCATTCCAAACTACCAGGTCACTTCTTTGTTAGCATTTTTAATTTGGAATATTATCACGGAACCCAAAATACGGTAATCTAAAGTAATGCACTGAATCAGTGTTCAGTTGAGTGCAGACTGCAGTCTGTGTGCTCTGAGACCACAGATGCGGCTTTCACACCGGCGCTTTTCACTTTCTAGCTCCTCGCGGAGAGCTTTTCATGGTTCAGCTCCCGTTTCCCTTTTCAGCTCCCGCTCTGTTCACAACTGCCCAGAGCTGCCGCTGCTGCGTCATGACGTCACAGCTTTACGTCGCCTGATTTTCTCCCACAACAACAACGGGCCGGGGGACTGCGTCGGGTCGTGTTGCTTTTTTAATCATACGAAGCCAGATTAAATTAAATAACGACTTCTCCAACCTTATAGTTTTCTCCAGTGCCGTGGTTCATTGTTTATAATGTGTTTCAGCGGCATTTTACCGACACGCTGCAGTGCTGGCTGCACTTCCACGGGAGTTTATTCTCCCCGTTAGCTCCGGGTTAGCTCACACGGCTCTAAAGTATTCACTGTCTGACTGTCACACAAGCAGCTGATACATATCCCCAGTTCCCCTTAAGTGAATGTGTGTCAGTCTGAATTGACGCTGTTTGGCATCACAACGCTGTTATGAAAGTTTCTCTGGTATAACATGGGTGATGTTAGCATAGCAACCGAAGCTAACTGACTACTTGCTAAGCCGTTTTCTACAGGCACATTTTACCGGCGTATTTTTCATTATGATTCTACTTCTGATAGTCGGACATGACAACCTGTACAGCCCATGTATCTCCACAATGATCAATAACAGCGAACGGATGGTCAAAGTAAGGTTTCCTGCACGCCTCGACGTAAGAGACGTAAGCGACGCCGCGTCATAGCTCCGAAGCTCTTGCCTCTGGACCGACAATTTTTTGGAGCTGGAAGTGAACCGCATTCCGGAGCTATGACGCGCCGCCGCTGCGGTGTGAACAGGAAAAACCGGCGCTTTTCAGGCTCTAGCTCCCAGCAGGAGCTGGAAAAGCGCCGGTGTGAAAGGGGCAAGAGAGGAACACGGTGAAATCACCTCTTACAGCAGAATATTGATGAAGCTCAATCTTCTTAATGTATCGTTAATATATTTTTTCTTCTGGAGCTGAAACTGAGAGCTTTTCCCTAAACTCTCTGACTCAGTACAATGTCACCACCACCTTATTAAAAATTAAACTAATGTGTTTGTGTATTTATTTTAAGAGTTCTTTATGAAGCCAAGGCAGTGCGTGGTATTAAGGAAACACAAGCTTCTTGGTATAAAGCCGGACCTATAGATCTGTATTAAGGGATTGAAAATGTAAAAAGTATGTCCACCCACACCTCCACTAGTTAATCATCATTATTGCCATGTACCTTTACACATACATGGAATTAGCTTTGGTGTATGTTGGTGCAAACGTAAACAACATATGAAAAAACGTGGGAAGAAAAGGTCAGAAATAGTATTTTCAAAAAACAATTTAACATATAAAAAGAATAAGGACAAGTATTTACACCCAATTTAAATATACAAAATAAACACAAAAACATAACAATGAATATGTGACAATATAATATGACAAACTGTAGTGTATTATAATACTGGCTGTGGCACAGTGGCCTAGTGCGTTAGTGTTCGGATCAGGGGAGCACAGGTTCAAATCCCACTGCAGTCAGCATGTCGTTCTGTCCCTGAGACACTTCACCCCAAACTGCTCCTGTGGGGATTGCCCACAGTATTGAGTATTTAAGTCGCTTTGGATAAAAGCGTCTAACAAGTGACATGTAATGTAATGTATTATATTTAAAGTGGAGGGCTGTGCAGAAAGGTGCAAAATATAATCAGAGAAAATATAGAGAGAATTTAAAAGAGATTTCTCTTTTAGGTTATGTTATAAATATGCTATTACTCCTTAAACCTAAATGAGAATTGATTTTAAATGATACTCTGTGGGGGTCTTATAAAAAGTTTGTATTGACAATAATGTGTAACTGGTAACCTTTCTCCCAAACGGAACACACAGAATTTGAAATGATATATATACAGTGGCATTCAAAAGTATTTAACCCGACATAAAATGATCAGATTTGTTAATTCTTTATTTCAAAAGACTGACCCTACAATGAGTTGTTTTAAAGCAAAATATCTTAATGTTAGAAAATGTGTAAGACAAATGAAAAACTGAAACATGCTGCTTGGATAAGTATTCAACCCCAAAATAATATCTAAGTGTTTGGAAGTCCCTGTGTACCGTTGATTTAATAGTGAGGAAGCAGAAGCTGCATCACACAACAGGCATTACCCAGACCACCTGCTGAGGGAAGACCCCCATCACTGAGGGGCTGCAGAGCCCAGCGGCTGGAAGCAGTGAAGGTGCACAACAAAAGAAGCCATAACTGAAGAACAGTTTGTCACAAATTATGAGAGTGACCCAGCTTGGTTGTTGGACAAAGTTTACACCGATCAGCAGTGTTTCCCATACATTGATTTATTTGTGGCGGGCCGCCACAAATAAATATCGTCCGCCACAAAAATGGATCTCATAAATAAAAAAAAATTATATATATATTTTTTTTTTTTTTTTTTTTTGGTGGTCTAATGGATAGTGAGGTGGGCTGATGATCGGAAGGTTGCGAGTTCAAATCCTGCCTGGAACACCACTACTAGTGTGCCCTTGAGTAAGGCACTTAGCCCTCGGTTACTCCAGGGAGAATGTCCCTGTAATTGGTCATTGTAAGTCGCTTTGGAATAAGGCGTCTGCTAAATGCCTAAATTGTAAATTGTAAATTATATTTTTGGGAGAATAAACCCCACAGATCCTCAACTCCGGTGTGTTTCACTCATTAACAACGTGTGACGACCCCTGCCTTGTTGTCTCCTGTGGTGTGCATGGCCCTTTAATGTTTCTCCTCTGCTTGTGACGCCCTGATTGAGGACACCTGACGCCCTGATTGAGGACACCTGACGGCTGGCGGAGGATTAAGAGGCCTGAGCCAGAGTCTCGATCTCTCTCTCCCGCAGAGGACCTGACCTCGGAGCAGCCACATCGCTTCGTCTTTTGTTTTTCCTTTGTGTTAGTTTTTTAGTTTACGTTAAGCTTCTGTTAATAAATATATTTTTCATATATGTTCTCGTCCTTCCCACGCTTTTTGTTATGGCCAAGAGCCAGGCCATGACAGATGGGAGCTCGTCCACTTCTTTTATCTGTGATACAGCAACGGATAGGTAAGATTTGTGTGGGGAGTTGGTGCGCGTGTATAAAGTTTGTTGGGAGCGCGTTTGCAGTGCGGCCGGTTTCTTTGTGGGAAGGACATTAGATTTCAGATCGTTGTTTGGGGACTGATTTGATTACTTTGTGAAGCTTTGATTTGTTTGGTATTATATTTCGGGAGAGTGGTTGCTAGTTGTTCT